AAATGAGCCAAATGGGGGGGGGGGACGCCAAACTTGTGGCGAAGGAGAAGGCTGAAAGGTGGGGTAGATTGCAGTTGTGATCAAGCTATTAGATCAGACAAAAATGGGGAGACGTTGGAGGTGCGATGAAGGAGAAAGTGGAATGGCGGGGTAGAGAGCAATCATGGTGAATTTAGCGAATGGACAAAAAAAGTGGAAACATTAGACGTGTAGTGAAGGAGAAGGCCTAGGAGCGGGGTAGACTATAGTTATGATCAAGTTACTAGATTGGCTAAAAAAGGGAAATGTCACAGGCCTGGTGAGGGAGAATGAGGGTAGGGTAGATTGCTATCGTGGTGAAGTTATCACATGGACCAAAAAAGTGGAAACACCAGACGCATTGTGAATGAGAAGGCCGAAGGGCGGGGTAGATGGAAATTATGGTTAATCTATTATGTCGATAAAAAAAGAAATATCGGAGGTGTGATGTAGGCGGGGGGAGGGGCGGGTAGATTGTTGTTGTGATCAAGATATCAAATCGGCCAAAAAAGGCAAACATGGGAGGCATGATGAAGGATTGTGACTCCCCCATTCATAACTATGCATTAATTATACACACATCATGCACAATCACAAACGGTGACCCACGTTAATATCACAAAACAACTCTAAGATACAAGTTAAACAAAGAAATATTATATTACAAACAAGGGTTGTAGGACCCAATATTACATCAAGAATTAGGTCTAACTACAGAAAAATACAAGGGATCCTTAAGAACGTTGAGCAAAACAACGATGCTAGATCTAAAAGGCGCAAGCCTCCTGCCTCGGACCTCCGAACTCGGTGGCGTCGAACTCCATGTAGTAATAATCGTCGGGGATACCTGCATCCGAGAGGCTACTATCTGATAGCAGCAACTAGATTGAAGGAAAAAAGATGGGAAAAGCAACCGTGAGTATTGATGTCTACTATGCAACTTTACTTCTTGTAGACTCTGTTGGGCCTCCAAGTACAGAGTTTTGTAAGACAGTAGAAAATTTCCCTCAAGTGGATGACCTAAGATTTATCAATTTGTGGGGAGGTGTAGGATGAAGATGGTCTCTCTAAAGCAACCCTGCAATTAAATACAAGAAATCTCTTGTGTCCCCAACACACCTAATACAATGGTAAATTGTACATGTGCACTAGTTCGGCGAAGAGATAATGATACAAGTGTAGTCTGGATAGTAGGTATAGGTTTTTGTAATCAGAAATAATAAAAACAGCAAGGTAGCAAGCGACAAAAGTGAGTACAAATGGTATTGCAATGCTTGGATACAAGGCCTATGGTTCATACTTTCACTAGTGTAATCTCTCAACGGTGCTAACATAATTGAATCATATAACCATCCCTCAACGTGCGACGAAGAATCACTCCAAAGTTCTTATCAATAGAGAACATAAGATGAAATTATTGTAGGTAGCAAGCCACCTCAAACTTATCCTTTCCGATCAATCCATTGAGCCATCCCTATAAGTGTCACAAACATCCCTAGAGTTTGTACTAAAATAACACTATATGATACACACCAATCAACTCTAATGTCACCTATATACTCCAATGTCACCACAAGTATCTATGAGTTAATTATTCGACATGCATCAAACAATTTCAGATTCATAATATTCAATCCAACACAAAGAACATCAAAGATTACCCTAAAGTTTCTATTGGAGAAAGTAGGACAAAAACGTGTATCAACCTATGTGCCTAGATTACCCCATTGTCATCTCGGGAATCCGCAAGTTGATTACCAAAACACACATCAAGTGGCTCAATAGAATACCCCATTATCACCAGGGTATCCACATGCAAGACATACACCAAGTGTTCACAAATCCAAAATATTCGATCAACATGCAAGACATACATCAAATGTCAAGACATACATTGTCACCACAGTTGCTTACCTTGAGACTGTTCGACCCGCTTGTTCATCAGGTCAAGATCCTTCTCGGACCTCTTGAGCTTCTGATTCATCGCCGCAATCTCCTCGAAGGTGGAGCTCGGAGCCGAGGTTGAAACCTACACACAAGCACTTTATTATAAGCCCCATGATCAACCTATTGACACTACGGAGATACATCATGTTATATCGGTCAAAGTCTTGGGGGCTACACACTCTTTTCCTACTATACTTTAATCCGAATGCTAGTTTCTTAAAACTAGCCTTGGGCTCGGGGGCTACTCACTGACTATGCCGTCTAAGTGTCAAGTAAATACGTCCTCGGACAAATACACGGATTTGCAAGTAAACCTAAGTGGGGAAATTACTTTTCGCATAAGGGCAGAAGATTACCTCCAAGCTCGTGATGAGGCCCTTGAAGACCTCACACATTCCAGCATGTGTGGACCAAAATCCTTGCAGTGCCGCACGAATCAAATCGCATTGCTCTTCCTTGAGGGAGGAGCCCGATAAGGATGCCTCCATTTCTTCAGTCCACCCTAGGCTAGGGATGAAAACGACGCGGAAACGGACGAAACAGGGTGCTACCATATTTGTTTTCATATTTTTTGCAGAAGCGGAAACAAATACAGAAACCTCGGAAATGAATATGGAAACAGATACTACCGGAAACAAACACGGAGCGAATACAGAGCGGACACGGAAACAAAACTGTGTGTTGACCGGAACTTAAACCCCCTTGAATCATGGAGAAATACAGACAAAAAACAAACAAATTGATGGAATTGTTAACATGGCTACAAAATATATGGCTGTGTTGGTAACATAGGGTAGTATTGTAGTAGTACATGACAATTCCATATAGGGTCTAGCTGAGTATGTGTGTGGTAGTAAAAGTTGTTACTCTAATGATACATTTTGCTCATTCTACTCATTGTGTCATTGCATGTTGTTTGATAGTTGGGTTACAAAGCAGCCACGGGCCTACAGTAGAAACGGAAATTCCATATTAACGGAAGCAGAAAGTTCCATTTCCACGTGTGTTCCACCGGAAAACACCATTCCGTTTTTGTTTCCGTTTTTGCATAAAAAAATCATTTCCGTTTCCGTTTTCATATTTCCTCTCCATTTCCATTTTCCTCTGGAAAAGCGGAAACTTACCACTCATTTTCATCCCTACCCCAGGCTAACCCGCCCTTGGGAAGGAGGCAGGGGTGGTAAGACCTAATTAAGACCCCAGCACAAAAGTGATGGGCAAGAGGGACTCCAATTGCGGTGGTGGAGCCGGAGTAGACTTCGGTTGGACCAATGATTGGCCCAGCCCTTCCTGGACGACCTCGGGGGCCCCGTCCCCTTGGCCTTGTGGTTCCAAGGTCTCAACCTCGACCATGACGACCGATTCTTCGGCCCCAACCGTGTCAACTTGGGGGGCGGAGTAGACTTTGCTTCCCCCAGCCCTACTTGAGCTGGGGCGGGAGTGGCGGGGTCGGGCATCCCGCTGGCAGATGGCAACCTGCTCGAGGAGTCGCTATGGCACGCCTTTGGCGGACTATGCAAAGTTACTCATGCGAGTCTAGATCCTGCTGAAAGGAGCTAATATAAGCCAAAGCCTAAGTACATTGACGCACCTCTGGGGTGCCGGTTTGTTCCTCCCCATTGAAAGGGATCATATTATGACTCGTCGAACTGTATAATCTTCTCCGATGATGTGGCCTTGTTGGCGGCCCCGGCCGATGTCTTTTTCAACCTCTTTTGACCCTTGGTCCGCGTCCCGGCCTCATCGTCCTCTGACGCTGCCCTCTTCCCCTTTGGGGGAGGGTTTCTTCTTCTTCGCCCTCCTCCACCTTGTCCTTGTGGGTGGAGGAGGCGTGGATCTTCTCGAACTGGGTAACCAAGTTATCTCAAATTTGAAGACCCAACCACCCTACCCTTCGGGGGCT